CGCAGACTCCCAGGGGCGTCTCTGCCTCTGCTGGTCAATCACAGAGGGCCAGCAAGTCGTTTTCCAGAAAGGGCTTGTGAGAACAGCATTCCCTGAGTTCCTGTATTTGATAATCTTTCTCTTTGAAATCTAACAGCTTAATTAGAATATGTTTCAGAGATGATTTTCTGTTTTCCCTGAGATACAGTATATCCTTTCTGTTCGTAAACCTGAATTTTCTTTTACTTCAGGAAAGCTGGCTTCATGATGACTTTGAAAGTGGTTTCTGTCCTTGTATCTGGACCGCCTTTCAGGAATGCCAGCCATATGGGGCCGGTTTCTGTTAGCTGCCGTTCACATTTGTCTGTTTTCACTCTCTAATCTTGTCCCCCTCTGTCATCTTGTACTTCAAATTTAATTTTCCTCTTTTCTCCAATTTTTCTCTATGAATCTTATTATTTTCAAATAGTGTCAGTTTTTCATTAGTTATTTCCAGTGTAACCTTCATACCTCTGATGGTTTTATTCTTTTTTCTTTATTTACTGAGATCTAAAAACCTAGTTTTTATTTCCTTTTGTGACTTATTCCTTATGCACTTGCATCTTTGCTTTGAATATTTTATCTGTGATAAAGTTTATCAGGCACAGCAATTAATAATTAGGCATAGTAATAACTGAAATAGAACAACTACACTATAATACAGTTGCCAGCATCACCACTCTTTTGCTTTGGGACCATTTTGTTTGTTTTTTCTTTTTTTTTTAACCAGTACATGTTGGCAGCACATAGTAACTAAGTTACCATGGGGCATTAGCACATGCATGCAGCACGGGGTTTTCTCTTGTCGCATTGCTTTGGCACCTACAGCACCACAGTGCCTCTGGTCTGGAAACAGCCCTCAGTGAAAGGCAGGTAGCTCGGGCAGTGGATGTGCTGGGTGAAAGACTGATCATGTGCTGCGTGTGACAGAGCAGGATGGCACGAGGTACACCCATTACTTGAATGATGCTCAATTTAAAACTTATGGATTGCCAGGCGTGGTGATGCATTCCTATAATCCCAGCACTCAGGAAGCCAACGCAGGAGAATTGCTGTGAGTTTGAGGCCAGCCTGGGCTACATGGTGAGACCCTGTCTCAAAAACAAACAAAACAAAAAACACCTTATGAATTGTTCATTTCTGGAGTTTTTCACTCACAATTTCCAACCACAGTCAACTGAGGGAACTGAAACCTCAGAAATCAAAATAGGTGAATAAGGAGGTGGACTGTAATGAGCTTTTCCTGGGTTTTAGTGTTGTAATTCTCTGTTAGAAGCTGGGAACTGAAAAAGGCCCGTATATCTGTGGTACAGGCTTTGTGAGAATCAGTGTGGGCCGTCCTGGGCCATGGAGAATAGCACCCCAGCCTCTAAACTGACGGCCGAAGGTGTGTGTGCCACCCATATGGGTGAGGGTGTTCCTTTTCATGTCAGAGCAGTGCGCCAGAAGATGTTAGAGCTGCATCTCATTGCTTGTTGGCCTGTCAGGAGTGGTAAACACTCTCCAGTAAATACACAGCATTAATGACAATCTGCCCTGTTAAGTAGAGTTGTATGCAGTTTTTTTGAGTTTAAAAATGGTCAATATTGGCAATTTCCTATTCTTTAACACTGTATCTGATTACTTCCCATCCTAATTCTCACCTCTGAGTCATCTGTTCAGTTTGTTGGGAAGGAAGTCAGTGGTATGCGCTGTGCCTTTTTGCTATCAGTCTTGATTCTCGCAGTCTCCATTTCCAACACAGAGGACTCATTGGGAATCAAATCTGGGGCCTATTTTCATGCATTTTGAGGCTAGTATTGAGACTCAGATAACTCATCCACACCTTCTGAGTCTTCATGTAGTTGTTTCTTTTGGTACTGAGGATCGAGCTCACGACCTCATACTTGCCAAGTAGGTGCTTATGCCACTAAATCCCCAGCTCGATATAGTTGTTTCTATAAACATCAGCTGATCCCTACCTAGAATTTCCAGGCTTTGTGTCAGCACAGTGCAGTTTCTTTTTTCCTTTATCATCCATTGAATTATCAGTCTGTCCGTCTTTATCTATCTATCTATCTATCTATCTATCTATTGACATATATAATCAGAAAGTAAAGTTAAATCTCGAGAAAAATAAATTTGTGTTTTGAAATTAATAGGGCCTGGTTTTTATTTTCATTTCATTTTTTATTAGCACCTGTGTGCCACGCATGCTGACCTTCCTCTGTGGGGTTGGTACCTGGCCAGAGCACATGTTTATTCTTCTTTTCATCCACTCCTCCTCTCGTCCCCTCTCCCTATCTCTTGGACCCCTTTTTGCAACAAACCTATCTTCCCATTTCCTGTTATATTTTATTTTGCTGTTCATTTATACTTTGTATTTCTCATGTAAGAGAACCCTATGGTATTTAAATTTGTGTGTCTGATTTATTCTCTCAACATTGTGGTCTCAAGGTGTGCCCATTTTCCTACGAGTCAAGTTTATCCTTCTTTATGGCACAGTAGTGCTCTATTGTGCACATCCTGTGATGACATTTTCCTTATCAATTCATTGGTTGATGGACATGTAGGCCACTTCCAAGGTTCAGCTGTTGTGAATCGTGCTGATATAAATGTGGATGTGCATGGTTCACTGTAGTTTGATGTCTTTAACTCTTGCCGGGAGATACATAGAAGGGGATTAGCTGGGTCAAGTGGGATTCCTGGTTTTAGTGCTTTGAGGAATCTCCACACTGACTTCACCATGGTATCCCAGTTCAGATTCCCTCTGACAGTGCAGAAGGCTTCCTGTTTCCCCAGGGACCTGGCTTATAACAAGAGGCACCAGTCTGGCTGGGAAGGGAAGTTAAGTGGAAGGGGATCCTGGGGCTCACAGAAGCTGTGAGAGGCTCACATGCCCTGGAGACGCTGAGCCTGTGGAGGATTCTTTCCATCATCATGAATGAATGTTGACATTTTATCAGATGCTTTTCTTCCTCTATTGAGATGATCACGTATTTGTTGATTGACATAGTCCTGTGTATTGACTGATTAATTTTTAAATGTTGGTCAGATCCTACATTACTTGGTCATGTGTTACCTTTACATATAGCACTGAATTCTGTTTTCTTAATTTAAATATTGAATAGAGTTCATCAGTGAAACCTGGAATTTTCTTTGTAGGAAGGTTTTGGACTGTGAATTCAGTTTCTGTAATAGGTATAGCACTGCTGAGACACAGACTTATTCTCGAGTAATCCCGGGCAGTGTGTGTCTTCCCAGGCCTCTGTCCCTGTCTCCCAGATGTTGGGTTCACGGCCTGGAGTCATCTGTGGCTTGTCTTCCCCTTGCTGTGCCTGTAGGATGTGCAGTGCAGTCCCTGTCACTCCTGATACTCTTCACTTGCCTTTCCTTGTTTTTCTTGGCCAATCTGACTAGACATTTTTTTCTTCATTATCTATTTTTTACTCACTGATACTCTCTCTCTCTCTTTCTTTCTTTCTTTTTGTCTTTTTGAGATGGTTTCAGTATGGAGTCCAGTCTGAACTCACTTTATAGCCTAAGTTAGCCTCAAACTTACAGTGATCCTCCTGGCTCAGCCTCCTGAGTGCTGTGATTACAAATGTGTACCACCACATTAGGCTGTCTATTGATTCTTTTTTCTTATTTTTTCCTTTCTTCTACTTACCTAGAATCTGATTTGCTCTCCTGTTCTGTTTTTTAAGGTAGAAGCTTAGATCATCAACTTGACACTTCTTTTTATTTTCTTCTTTTTTCATATGAACATTTTAATGCTATAAATTTTAATGTTATAAATTTCCCTTGAAACACTGCTTTGGCTGCTTCTATTTTTACTTAATTCAAAATATTTTCCAATTCTCTTTTCACTCCTTCCTGTCCTGCCTGAGGTTTATTGTCAAACACTTGGGGCTTTTCCAGGTAACTCTCTGTACTAATTTCCCCTTGTATTTCTGCTATTTTTGGCTTTTGTGTGTTTTCTGGGAGGTCCCCACTTGAGTTCGAGAAGGTGCTGGCCTGTGCCCACATGATGTGCAAGGAGCCTGCAGGTCAGTGCCCAGGCTGCCCAGAGCATGGACTGAGGGGCAATTGTGAGTGGACTGAGGGCCACCCTGTCACAGCAGGTGTGAGCAAAGGGGTCAGCCCCGGTGCCCCTCTGCCCACCAGCACGCACGATAGCGGCAGAGCTGAAGGTTGGGGTTGATCAAAAGTCTGCCTGTTTGGCGGCCAACTCCTGTTACCATTGTGGACCCAGGAACTCCAGCAGCCTTGAGCATCCTCTTACTTGGGAAGCAGAGTTTTCTTCATGGCAATTGAGTGGCCCCAGAGAAGGCCCCAGCAGGAGCTGTGCTTCTTGCCGGAGGAGCCAGAGTGGCCTCCTGGCTCCCGCTGGTAGAGAAGGAGAACTGTGTGACAGAGGAAGGGCCTAGTTTGGTTTTGCCCTCTGCAAGGAAGGTGCTGGAAGGCTCTGATCACATTTCCTGCTGCCTGTCTGTGCTCCACACACTTCGGACATGTGCTTTGTGAGCGGCGTGACAGTCCCCGTGAGAACAGAGCTCGGCACAGAGTTGTAGCACATGTTTCAGTGACCCATAGATCAGTTCCTCTTGGGCGTGAGGGGCGTAAGAGCCAGGCACTTTGCAGCCGATGAGTTCCCAGCAGACTGAGCTGGCAGGTGCCGTCTTTGAAGGCGTTGGCCAGAGAGCACTGGTGCACGTCTTTCATAGTGTCAGTTTTGACTTCGTGAAGAATAACTGAAGGAGTCCCAAGAAAGGCCTGCTTTCCACAGAAAGGTAAAGTTTCACTGCATTCATGGATTTCGAAGACAAGGGTATCATTGTTTCTCCTGCCTGTCTCTGCCCCGTATACAGGTGATCATGTTCCTCCTAATGACAGGGCAGGAGATTTTAAAGACTTTCCTGACACCTCGCCTTTAGAGAGATGACAGGCCTGCACTGCCTTTGTTCACTAACCTAGCTATTAATTCTTTGTTCTGTTCCCAGGAAGCTGGCGAAGAGTCTTGGGCAGGCCGGTGAAATCGAGCCTGAAACAGAAGGGATACTAACAGAGTATGGCGTTGACTTCTCCGATTTCTCTTCAGAAGTGCTGGAGTGTCTCCCTCGAAGCCTGCCCTGGACAATTCCGCCTGAGGAGGTCAGCAAGAGACGCGATCTGAGGTAAACACCTGCAGTCCTAAGGGCAGCAGCCTCTGCCTTTCTGCCCTCTCACCCAGCTGCCCTAGGAGCCAAGCTCCCACATTGCTGTCTTGCCTCCAACATTCAATTCATTGGTGACTCAGAGGCCAGCACATGGCGACCAAGTCCAGCTGACTGTGTGTGCTGAGTGGTTTTCACATCTTTAAATGGCTGTGAAAAAATTAATTCTATTCATGCAGATAATATAGAGATTCGCATTTCTGCATTTGTAAAGTGGCACCGGGGCCACGTTTATTCCTTGGTGCGTCGTCGCCTGCACTGTTTTGTGCTGTAACCCAAGGCTGAGTCATTACAGCAGAGACTATGTGGCCTGCGAAGTTGCCAATAGTTTCAACTTGGCCTTGCCCCTGAGTCTGCTGCCCCCATCCTAGGCTCTGCTCATTTCGGAAAGCTGCAGGTGCTGCTGCTTTTCTCCCATTGGACCCTGTTGGTTCGTTCAAGTCAAGGTGGTGCCCCTGGTTAGCAGCGCCTCCTCTAACAGGGCCTCTAGGCGTACGGCAAGAGTCAGGACTTCTGTGCTTGGAGCTTCACTTTAAAGCTTTACTTTTTGGTCTGGAATTTGTTGGAAAGTACTTTTGTGGTATTTTTATAACAACATCTTCTTTGAAGATGTTTCTTCATTGTGGGATGTTAGTTCTTTTCTGATATTTCTCTTCAGAATTGGGTTTCAGTCCTGGCACTCATTTTGGATGCCACATGGAGATATTTAGAACCAAGAAACTTTTCGTACAAGCACTTAGGCTGTGGAAGGGTTTGCTAAGCTTGTCCCCTGTCAGAGGCTCACTCTGCGCCCCGGGCCTAGGGACGTTCGGCCCTATTGCTGGTCCGCTGCTCCTCCAGGTTGGAGAATTCCCCTTCTCTGCCCCTCTTGTCATTGCATCTTTCCAGGGTTTATTGCTTTTTGCACTTCTTGTTCAAGTTAGGCAAGGAAAAGGAGAGGACTGGCCCCTCCCCTGCCTTTCAGTACGGCTGATGGGACTCATGTTGTACCTGAGATCAGCTGGCCCAGGTCACTGTTCCACAGTTTAGCAGCAGCTGGAGCTCAGGGCTGTGAGATCCGGGCTCGTGGCCTCCCTTTCTGCGTGTGTGAGTCAGGAGGTTTCTTGAGCTCTTCACCTGAGGTCTCTATAGAAACAACATTTAATGAGGAAAGAGATGAGAATGTCAAAATGAACCTTAGTGTTGGAATTGTAATTTAGCATAGCCATTCTGCAATATAGACCAAAATTTAACTATATATACTGTTTTTCCGAAACTCTTCCTTCCAGGAATCCTAAGGAAGGTTCAGTAAGCTGTGGTTATACCTCTGTGATAACATTCATATATCCAGCTCCGCAAAAAGGGGAGGTCCATGTGGACTGTCCTAGAAGGATGGCCATCAAATATTCTTAGGGGAAAGAAGCAAATTTCAGAACAGGATGAAGATGAGCCTGTTTTTTATAGAGCAAATTATGCAAAAACTATATATACCTGTGTACCCACAAATATATATATATTAACATATACATATATTAACATATACATATATATACATATATGTACATAAGATATATATGTACAGGAAAAAATTTAGAAGAAAATAAAGTGGCTACCATGAGGGATGGATTTGGTGTAGTAATCAGGAAGTGGAGAATCAGTATTTTACTTTTTTACTTTTACTTTTTTATTTTGTATGCTGCTACTTTATTAAAATTTCTTTAAGTAGTGTTTAAAAATCATAAATACAAGTTCCAGAAAATGATGGACATGGTCTCTTCTAGCCTGGCTCCTCGACTGAGATAAGTGCTAAGCATTTCCAAGTCCCGGCCCGGTGTTGCTCAGGGTTCCCCTCAGGCTCACCTCACCCCCTCTTTGCCCTCGCTGCCCATGCTGCTAGCTGACCCCTGTGTGCTCTGGGACACCTTGAGGGCCAGGCTGGGCATGGCTCCTATTTATTTCTGCTGTGAGTGTAGTAACAGAGTTATTTTTTAAAATCTACTTTAACTTTCAAACATTTCCCCCATCTTCTATCCCCAGGATTATATTTCTAAAATTCAACTTTGATATTTTTATTCTTTTGCATTTAAAATCTTTTAACTGCTTCCTGATACCTAAAGTAGTAATCTCAAAACATTGCTGGACATGCATTCCCATCAATGCATAAATCCTTAGTTTTAAATTATAGGCAAGTGTCCTACTTTAATGATCTATTATTTACATTGTAAACATTAATAAAAACAGAAAAATAGAGTTATAAATTATTAAATATTTTAAATCATTTACAAAAATTATAGGACCCTCATTTGTTCGTATTAAATTTACTTTTGGAACAGGCAGCTTTATTGACTACTCATTTTTACTGTTTAACAGCTTGGAATACGGAAATTCAAAGGTCTGATTCTAAGTCTCATGTTTTGATACTTGGTGTTAATGGTGATCATAAATGAAAACAGTAAAGCAGGCATAATGGTGCATGCCTTTGGTTCTCATACTCAAGAGGCTGAGACAGGAGGAATATATGTTTGAGGCCAGCCTGAGCAACTTAGCAATTTAGTGAGACCCTGTCTCTAAATAAAAAATGAAAAGTGTGAGTGCTGTAGCTTCGTGTGACCATCCTGAGGTCACTCTCTGGTACTGGGGGAAATAGAAAATGTAAACATTTAGAAAATGTGAGCTGAGCTTTCTAGGTTATAATACTCATTTTTTAGTCCAATTCACTCTAAAGTTCAGCTGATAAATTTCCATCTTTCCTGCTGTTTGTCAATTCTTGTGGACTAATTGAACAGTTCTACGGTCTTGGAATTTGGGGAGTTAATAACCCTGTTATTTTTTATGTGGCATTTAAAAAACTAGTTAAAAATTCTGTTAGGAAGTTCAGGTGTGCATACATGACTCGTTTTGTCTGTACTTTATTCACTTCCACCAGGGACCCAGATTGTGTAGTAGTGGTAGTATTTCAGTGCATCCATTTAAAACATGTTATCTGCCAAACATAAATACGTCATTTGCAAAATGCAGGCACTTTTACCTCTATGTTAAGATCTTTTTTTTTTTTTTTTTTTTTTGGTCTTTTTGAGACAGGGTCTCTCTATGTAGTTCAGGCTGGCCTTGAGCTTGCTTTGTAGCCTAGGATGGTCTCGAACTCGCAGTGATCCTCCTGCCTCAGCCTCCTATGTGCTGGGATTACAGATGTGATATGTTAAGATCGTACCCCAAAGGGACAGGTTAAATGTGCTGATTGTTGGTAAAGTACTGACGGGTAACATGACCAGTAGCCATTGTTTTGAAATCATAATGTGACTAGGGATGAATTCATATTAGAAGCAGAAAAACAAAAAAGAGTCAGCTTTGCCGTTTAGATGGTGTTAGTAGGATTTGTGTTATTAGCTTAGTGTTAACTTCAGTCTCTGGATCTCTGCAGCAATCTCCTTAAACTACTTGCCTATTTATAAAGATTTATGAAGATTGGCTAGAATGGGTAAAACCTGTGGGTATGTGGAAGCAGGCATGGGTGCTACCAAGAGACCATGCTCGGCTGCAAGGGCAGAACAGCAGCTGCACCAAAGGGCTCCTTCTCTTCCCAAACCTGGCGCCTCCCTGAGACCTGACCATGTACCTAGTATGGTCACTGGCTTAATTCATCTATTTGTGTAGCCATGGTTAACTTCTTATTTTGTACAGTAAAAATCACATAAAAATAAGTCTATGCGTATATTGATGTGTTTGGATTCAATTAGCTTTTCCTTTTTTTTTTGGACTGGTCTTGTGATAGATTTGTTTGGTTTTTTAATCAACACATATTTACTGAACACCATCGCTAGCCACTGAGAATACAGCAACAGACAAAAATGGCTGTGGGCTCTGTCTTCATGGCCCTCTGTATCTCATGGTAGAAGAACATTCATCAGATACATTCAGAGTGAAACGTGGAATCATAGTGAATGAGAAAGATACTTGGTACATGAGTAGAGGTACATGAGTACATTTCCTCTATTTAGTCATAGTGAATGAGAAAGATACTTGGTACATGAGTACATTTCCTCTATTTAGAGGTCCAGAGTTGTCAGAGATTTTTAAGATCAGTATTCATTTTCCTAGAAATGACAAAAGAAGATTGCATATTTGACTTTTGTCACCATGACAAAATACCTAAGAAAAGTAGCTTAAAGGAGGAAAGGTTTACTGTAGCGTATGACTTCAGAGGTCTAGTCCATGGTCACTGCCTTCATTGATGAGCTGGTGGAGGCAAAGTGTCGAGGTGTAGGGGAGCAGATGGAGCACGAAGAGCGTGTCCAGCAGGCTCCCAGCCTGTGCTTTCACTCTGTATATTCTCTCCCTACTGCACAGTGTCATCCGCACTCCAACTGTGTCTCTTCCTTTAGTTTGCCATTCCACGTGCCAGTTGTTCCTGAAAACACATTCAGCCCCAAAGCGTGCTTTAATTTTCCGTAGACATTGCTCAAGCAGCTTGATGATTAGAATCAACCGTAACAACCTGGATGTGGTGGTATAAGCCTCCGTTCTAGCCCTCAGGCGAGCTGGGGCAGGAGGGTTGAAAGTTCATGGCCAGCCTGGATTTCAGGTCAGCCTGAGCTACATAACATGACCCTGTTTAAAAACAAAACAAGACCACCACCACAACAAAACCAAGAAAGTGAAAAAAAATTAACAATGACAGTCAAGCCCCAGCACAGGCTGAAAAATGTGTGCTATGTTGAATAAATCAAATGGTACCCTTTAAACTCCCACAAACCAACTCATCTGTGTCTTTTTCTCCTTTCTCCTTTCCTAAAACATTGCTATATGTTGTATAGAATATGTATGTGTAATGCTGCGTACTGAGTTAACTGCTGGAAATACAAAGTCGCACCCTTGTTCTTCCGGGAGACCCATTAATACTTAGATCAGTGATAGCTGGGAATGACAAGTGCTGTGGTACAGGTGTGACAGGCCTTGGCACCTGAGCGAGGCTGCGAGAGTTG